GAGCAGACGCCTCTCGGGACCCTCTTGGGGCGCTCTTGGGCGTTCTGTGGGCCGCCTTGAAGCCCTCTTGAGACTCTCTGCGGGCTCTCCTTGACTGTCTTGCAGCCGTCTTGAGGCCACAGGAGCCCATCGGAAGCGCCAAGGGAAGAAGGCAACGCAGTCTGACCTGCCTCTAGTTTCGACAGGATTCTGGGCTCTGGGGGGGTCCTTGGGACATCTTGGGGCGATCTTGGGATCTCTTCGAGGCATGTTGGCAGCTATCTCGAACCGTCGTGAGCTATCTTGAGCGATCTTGGAGGCCATGTCGGGCCCTCTTGCAGCCATCTCGTGCCATCTTGGACGCTCCAACGCCCCACGACCGCCCCCTCCCGGACCCAGGGGGAATGGGGAGAGGGGCCAAGCTACCCACAAGCCGCAGGCAGTCTTGCCCCCTCCCACACATGATCATTTTTGTTAATCAGTGGTTTGCCGATCGGCGCGGGCCCTCGCACCCCCCCCCCTCGCCCCTCCCCATGGAGTGGATCTTGGCTGTTTGGGCGCCTTACTCGACCAGGTGGAGCCCCTCCCCCATTGGACGCACCGCTGCAAACAGTCGCACTAAGCCGAGGTGTGGAGCCAGACCCCCCCCCCCCTCTCCCCCCGTCCGCCCAATGTCGAAACGCCGAATGAAAAAACGCTCACAAAGGGGAGGTACAGAAGCGGGTGGGAGTGCGAAATCCGTTGCATGCAGCTGGCTTCGGCCCTGGCCGCCACGCGCCCCCTCCTGATGCACCGTGTGCATCGGGGGTGGCCCAGAGGGGGCGATGACTAGGGGGGGGTATCATGGCGGGGGCGATGATGTCTCTCTTACTACTACTATGGTTTCAAGTTGGAGTTACTGTGGCCACTTTTGCCCGCGCGGGAAGGCATTCCATTAACGGTTGCGAGTCTCCCCAGATTTAACGGGAGATACCTTGACATATTACTTTTCATTGAACGGCCAGCGCGGGCCACAGTATCTCCCATCCGGCCACGCGACGGGCCACACTAATACCCAACGGGCCACACTAACACCCAACGGGCCACAGTAACATCCGGTGGCCCCTGGTTCTCGGGGGGGGGGTCGGGAAGGTGGGCGGGGTCTGCCGGGGGAAGGGACGGGGGGCGAGGGTGGGGGGTTCGAGCAGGGGGTTGGATTTTCGGGGGGGGGGCTGGGTTCTGGAGGAAGATGGGTTGGAAATTTCCATTGCAAAGCGGCGGTGGATCACGTTCTCTCGAAAAGAGAGGCGCCAAGATGATGAGATTGCTGATGATGATAATGATGATGATCATCATTCTCATCATCGTCATTGCCGTCGTCGTCATCATCACCATCATCATCAGCATCAGCATCATCACCGGCATCAGGTTCATCATCACCATCATCACCATCGTCGGCATCAGCATCATTATCAATTTCATGGGCATCATCATCATCATCATCATCATCATCATCACCATCATCATCATCATCGCCCTCCTCATCACCATCATCACCATCAGCACCGTCAACATAATCATCATCACCATCATCATCATCATCATCATCATCATCATCATAATCATCACTATCATTGTTATCAGCATCAGCACCACCACCACCACCACTATCACCATCACCGGAGTCATCACCATCACCAAAAAGACAAAGGCGATGCAAGGATTGGCTCGGCGCCTTGATGGTGAGGACGACGGCGAAGTGGGCGACTCCTTCTTCCGCGCCATCTTCCTCTCCTGTGCAACTCTCTTCCCGCGCTTCTCCTTCCTTCTCCTACTCCTCTACGTCCCAGCCTGGCCCCAGGCGCTGCGCTGATGTTTCGCCTGCATCTGGCTTTCCACCCGGAGAGTCCGGATGTGGTGTCCAGAGTTTTTGTGTCAGTAGTGTGTTCGAGCGGATCGTTGATTCTTGTCGCTGAGCTCGCGGCCTTGTTGCTGCCGATCCTCTGCTTGTCCCTCTCGGCGAAAGCACGACATAAGCAGAAGCTGTCGGAGCTCCGTGCCGAAATCTTGGATCGGCGCTGGATCCCGCTCCCTGGCGTGCGGAGCGCGCCAGGGGCGGCGCCTGAGTCGCTGCTCAGGGGGTGCACCGCCGATCCAAGATGTCCGCGCGGAGCTCGGCACGCTTCTGGTCATGCCATTTCTTTGTCCTCATCTATCCTCCCCGTCCTTCCCTTCTCGTCCTTCTCGTCCTTCCTCCTCGTCGTCCTTTATCTATCCACCTTCCTCCTCTTCCTTCCCTTCCCATCTCCAGCGTCCCTTACAGTCAGCCCGAAGCATGAGCGATATTCCAAGGCTGCCCTTGCATCCTTCCCCTTCGGCTCGTCCTTGGCCAGTTCCGCTGGCCGCGCCCCTCTCGCAGAGTGCCGACATGGCCCCCACCAAGGCCCCGGCGTCCTTCTCGTGCATCCTTCTCCTACGGGTTGAATGTGCCCGGCCCCCTCGTCCCTCCTCCCCTCCGTCCGCGCGCGCCCTCCTCCGCCTGCCCCTCCTCCCTCCCCGCGGCCGCCTCGGCGCTGCCGTCAATGCCGTCGTCGCCGCCGTCGTCGTCGTCGTCGCCGCCGTCGTCGTCGTCGTCGTTGTCGTCGCCGCTGTCGTCGTCGTCGCCGTCGTCGTCGTCGCCGTCGTCGTCGTCGTCGTCGCCGTCGTCGCTCCCTGCCGCCCGCGGCCGCCTCGGATCGGGGGGCGGCCCTGCCCGCGCGCGCGGGCGCGGGCCCCCGAAGGGGGGACCCCCTGCGCTGCGCTGCGCTGCGCGCGCCGCGCCGCGGCGCCGCGCGCCGGCCGGGGCCGCCGCCGGACGATGCCCGCCCCGCCGGGCGGCGTGCCGCGCCAGCGCTCGGCCCCGGCGCTGGCCACGGCGGGCGAGCTGGCGGTGCTCGCGCCCGCCGCGGGGGCGGAGCGCGCGGCCTCCACGAAGGCGAGGAGGGCCGCCGCCGAGAGCGTGGCCGTGCTGGCACGGGCGGACGTGAGCGAGGAGCGCGGCGTCGGCGCGTTCCCGGCGCAAGGGAAGGGGGGGGGGGAGGAGGAGGAGGGGGGGAGGGGGGGGAGGAGGGGGGGGGGGGGGGGGGGAGGAGGAGGGGGGGGAGGAGGAGGAGGAGGCGGAGGAGGAGGAGGAGGAGGGGAGGAGGAGGAGGAGGAGGAGGAGGAGGAGGAGGATGAGAGGAGGAGGAGAGGAGGAGGAGGAGGAGGAGGAGGAGGAGGAGGAGGAGAGGAGGAGGAGGAGGAGGAGGAGGAGGAGGAGAGGAGGAGGGAGGAGGAGGAGGAGGAGGAGGAGGAGGAGGAGGAGGAGGAGGAGGAGGAGGAGGAGGAGGAGGAGGGGGAAGAGGGAGGAGGGGGGGGAGGAGGAGGAGGAGGAGGAGGAGGAGGAGGAGGAGGAGGACAAGGAGGAGGAGGAGGAGGAGGAGGATGAGGAGGAGGAGCAGAGAAAGAAGGTGGTGGTGGAGGAGGAGGAGGAGGAGGAGGAGGAGGAGAAGAGAAAGAAGGTGGAGGAGAAGGAGGTGGAGGAGGAAGAGGAGGAGGAGGATCGGAGGGCGTCACCTGACTACCGCACCGACCCTGGCGAGGCAGTTCCTGGGTCTTGGATCGATCTGTACGTCCTGCTGGCTTGACCAGAGAGGCACATGCCTCGATCTTGGGTCCAGGATCGACCCGGCCAGGATCGGTGAGGTGGTCAGTTGACGTCCCCGAGCGGCGGAGGCGGCGGCGATGGCGACGACGACGCTGACGCGGGGGGCGGGGGACACACGTGCGGCGGCCGGCAGGGAGCCATCATGCCTTGGGCACTGGAACGAAGCCATCATCTCGATCGACGCTCGCATCGGTTGCATGGTTCTCGGAGTGCGAGTCAGCCATTCGCTTCGCGGGGGGGATGGGCTCCCATGGTGCCACCGACCCGTTCTGTCGGTCTCTGCGCGCGTGCTCACTGCGGATCGGCCGCCCGGGCCCTCCTCGGGCCCCGGGGCCGTCGGGCACTCCGGCCTGCGGAGTTCAGCCCTGGCCCCGGGAACGGGGTCGGGACTCCTCGGGGGCCGCGTTTTGGAAGGGCCCAGGCGGGGGATGCATCGGGGGGCCCAGGTATGGGGGGATGCATCGCCAGATGCCGTCAGACGTCAGGGCCCAGGGGGGGTGCATCGTCCCCCCATTGCCCATTGGATCGCCGAGAGGGGGCTCGATGGCCCACCCCGCCCAGGAGCGGGTGGCCTCCTCATCGTTGGCCTCTCGCCGATCTGTCGGCGATGCATCACCGATTCCAGGCCGCTGTTGCCACCTCGGGATGCAGGGCTGTTCTGGAGGCCACCTTGGGCGTCTCGGAGGGCTCTTTTGGGGGCCCTGCCCGGGCCGGTCTTGGGGGCCTCCTGGGCCGTAAGGGGGCCATCTTGGAGGTCTCTTCGGCGCTCTTGAGTCGGAAGCCGGGCAAGGGCCGCTGAATCCGTGGCTGCTAAGATCGACCTCCGGGAAGTTGTCTTCGTCCTTCCGGGAAGAAGCCCGTTGACTGTTTCGCGTGGCGCGCCTCATCCCGGGAAGTCGTTTTTTCCTTCCGGGAGGGCCGCTTTCGCAGCCACGGTTTTAGCAGCCATCGCCCAGCTGTCGACTCAGGGCAGTCCTGGGGCCCCGGCCCCATGGTGTTTTTTTGGCCAGAGCTCAGGGCCTCTGGCGGCGGCCGTCCGGGACGATCCGGGTTCCCCCAGAGCGCTCTCGGCGAGGCGCAGCCGCCGTGAGGCATCCCGAGGCTGGAGAGCCGCCGAGAACGAACGGAGGCTGATGGGCCTGTTTTCCACCACCACCACCACTCCTCCTCGTCCTCCTCCTCCTCCTCCTCCTCCTCCTTCTCCTCTTCGCTCTCCTCTTCCTCCTCGTTCTCCACATCCTTCCCCCCTCCAACTGCTGGTGGTGTTGGTGGCAACCAGGCCCATCGGAGGCGCCAGAACATCTCGAACCTCGAACCTGGAACCTCGAGCCCGCCTCCCCCTGACGCTGCACCTCAGGAGTGGACAAAGGCCGACGACGGGAAGATCGCGAAGCTGCGCGGGATCCTCTCGGCGCTGCAGGAGGAGAATCAGAATACGCAGCTGCTGCGCAAGGTCAGCGAGGACTCGGCGGCGCAGCGGGCGCTGGACGCGACGCGGGCGAGCGTGGACGCTCGCACCCGGGCGTGCAAGGACATGGAGGAGCAGTTCTTCCAGAAGCAGAACGAGCTCCGGCGGCACTGGCTGGAGGAGAAGAGCAGGCTCGGGCCGCTCGGAGGAAGCTCGAAGAGGAACAAAAACACGTCAACATCAACTTTTTGGCGCTCCGCGCGGATTTCTTGGATCCTCGACTGGCCCCCCGGCGGCGCCTCCAGCGCCGCCCCTGGCGCGCTCCGCGCGCCAGGGAGGGGGGTCCAGCGCGAATCCAAGAAATCCGCGCGGAGCGCCAAAAGTTTATGTTTTGTGGGTTTTTCTTCTTCTGGAAGCGGGGGCGACACCGCCACCACAGGGTAAGGTCGGGCCTGTCCCCCTACAAGGGGATTTTGGGCGAAGAATTTAACAGATGCCAGAAATATTCCCCCTAATGCTCAAACATAGTCAAAACATAGAATCGTCCCCTATAATATTTGTTTGACTATTTTGTAATATCCCTCCTGTATCTGGACGCCCGAAATGGGCACGGAAAGAATGGGTACAATGCCCAACAGCGGATCCTGTTCATTTGAACAGGACTCGCTGTCCACGCCGCCGCGGCCTGTGTCCAGTCGAGACAGAGGGCCGCCTGCCCAACAGCGGCCGCTGTTCGTTTGCGACAACATTTGCTGTTGGGCATTGTGCCCATTCTTTCCGTGCCCATTTCGGGCGTCCAAACTGTAGATGGACAGGCCCGACTTACCACAAGGGGGGGCTACCTCCGGCGAGGGGTCAACGATGCCTCCGCGAGCTGGGGGGTGGTGATGCCTCGGAGCGGGATAGGGGAGGAGGGCCACACCACCAGCCTGACACTCCGTGGCGCGTCTCGCGCTGGTGGTGGTTTTGTCGCCTCTCCTCGCTGCTGGAGGTAAGTCGGGCGTGTCCCTCTAATTACAAGGGGAAAATGCAAAAACAGTCAAACATAGTATTGGGACGTTATCTCTATTATTCGTGACTCTGTTTGAGCATGTTTGGACTTTCTTTTGTTTTGCTTTTCGTCCTGATGTGTTGACTTTTTTGCTTTCCGTCCAAAATGCGCCTGTCGGGGGACATGCCCGACCTAACTCTTCTCTTTGCTGGAGGCTGGACAAGCTGAACGAGAACATCGAGAGGAGCCAGAAGAGGTCCAAGGACGAGCAGCGCGAGTGCCACAGGCTTGTGGACGACGACCAATGGAGAGGAATCATGTTTTCAAGTAAGTGCCAGATGCCTGAGCAATATTTAAAACATGTCTTCAGCATGTAAGACAACATGTTTCTGTTGAGCAGCTTTCGAACATTGTTCAAACATTTAAGACACATCTTCCGTTCAAGGATCGGGCTGTTTGGGTGTCCATCGCCTTTGCATCCGCAACCGCAGGCTCCAGGAAGAGGTGGGCGCCCTCGAGGCCGACCTGGCCAGCCAGGAGGCCGCCAGGGCCGCCGAGCAGAGGAGGATCGGGCACGTCTCCATGTACAAGGATCAGGGGCAAGCTGCTGCTAGATGATGCGGCTCGGGGTCTACAGTGGGGGCCCATGCCGAGAAACTGTGGGAAGACCGCTCATCTCCCGTCTCCATGTACAAGGATCAGGGGCAAGCTGCTGCTAGATGATGCGGCTCGGGGTCCACACTGGGGGCCCATGCCGAGAAACTGTGTGGGAAGACCGCTCATCTCCCGTCTCCATGTACAAGGATCAGGGGCCAGCTGCTGCTGGATGATGCGGCTCGGGGTCCACACTGGGGGCCCATGCCAAGAAACTGTGTTTGAAGACCGCTCATCGCCCGTCTCCATGTGCAAGGATTAGTAGGGGGTAGCTGCTGCTTGATGATGCGGTTCGGGGTCTTCAGTGGGGGCCCATGCCAAGAACCTGTGTGTGTGTGTGAAAACCGCTCATCTCCCATTTCTATCGGTCCTTCCTGCTACCCTCTCGGCTCAGATACTGGACCTACGGACCACACGGTAAGTTCGACTCATTGGTCGTCAACCTGCGTTCACAGAAATACCTTGCTTGCCTCTAGGGTGCCCCGGGATTCTTGGGTTTCGATGGTTTTGCAATTGGGAGCGTGACGCTTCTACAACAAACGTCAATGAACGTCCTGGGGTCTCAGGGTTGGGTTTCTTGTGGAAGGCTTCTTGTGGTCGGGCCCCCACTGTATTCGCATCGGCCCCCCCCTCTTCCCAAACACTCTTGCCTCTTCGCTTCTTGTTTTGCGTGGGTGATATCGTTGGCCGCTTGGGCTCCGTGGGATCTCCAAATGCGGCACGCTTGTTCCGCTTTGTCAGTGTCCGGATCGCTGCACGAGTTCACCTATCACTGGTCGGCTGGCGTCGGGATCCCGCTTGTCCTGGCCACCTTTTCATACGCACAGCAGTTGAGGCCGAGCCGTGCGAAGTTTTGTGGTCGCGATCCATTCGCTCCCTATTCCTAAGAAACATCGTCAGGGGCAAGGTTAGGGGGGGGATGGACTCAGGGGGGGATGCATCTACCCCCAATCGCCTGTTGATCGCCTGTAGGGGCGTGTGGACTCGCCATCGGGCGCCCATCGCCGATCTGTCGCGGCGGTGCATTGCAGATTCTGGTCCGATGTTCCTCCCCCTGAGCTGGCCCTCCCCACCGACGGCCTCCCTCGAAGGAATTCCTGGAGGAGGTCGTGTCGGTGTGCGAGCACGAGTTCGAGAACGACGTAGGCGTTCTCTTGAACCGGCACCGCACGCTCGAGCAGAGCAATGCGGAGCTGCACAGGGCCAACAGGGAGATGACCGGGCGCCTCGACGAGCTGCGCGAGAGGCACCAGCGCGAGTCGTCGGCCCTACAGAACGAGCATCTTCGGGTGAGCAGCCTGCTGCACGATTGCCAGGGTCGGCTGGAGCAGGCCCGGGTGCAGAACCAGCAGGTGGAGGAGAGCCTGAGCCGGGCTCTCGGGGAGAAGTCGAAGGAGGAGAGCGAGGTCGGTGTCATCAGGATGGCCATCGAGCAGATCTTCGAGAGGACGCTCGTGTCATGCCGGGTGGAGCAGCGCAGGAATGTCATGCGCGATGCGATCGACCCCAAGTACACGCCCCTCCGCATGGACAGGTCCGAGTGGCGCCTCAACCAGATGCTGCAGCAGATTGGCGAGCGAGTGGAGGACCTCAGGGACATGTACGGACAGGCGCGCGAGAGGCTGAAGCCAGACGCTGGGCACCGGGCGGCTGGCAGCGACGACAGGGAGGCCTGGGCCGGCGAGGTCGGCTTCGTCACAGAGGCCTTGTAGGGTCAGGGGCAACAATAGGGGGGATGGGCTCAGGGGGGGGTATGCCTCGGCCCCCGAATCGCACACTGATCGCTGATAGAGGCCGGATAGCCAACGCCGCCCAGGACCGTGGGGCTTCGCCAGCGCGAGCTTGTGGCCGATCTGTTGTTGAAATGGGGTGTATCTGGATTCATATATTCCATTATACTTTAAGCGCCTTCCTACTTCAATGATTGAGTGGTTTCACCTTTCCCGTCCTCCTTAGGGGGCGCACGGAACCCAATCTACTTTGAACGGCTTCCTACTTTATGCTTCTTCCTACTTGTTTCGAACGATGGGTACAGCCGGGCCCCCCTGGGGTCCGGATCTGCCCAGGCGGTGCAAGTACGTGTAGAAGTACCCGCCTCGGAGAGGGGAGGAGGAGGAGGAGGAGGAGGAGGAGGAGGAGGAGGAGGAGGAGGAGGAGGAGGAGGAGGAGGAGGAGGAGGAGGAGGAGGAGGAGGAGGAGGAGCAGAAGGAAGAGGAGGAGGAGGAAGAGAGAGGGAGGAGGAGGAGGAGGAGGAGGAGGAGGAGGAGGAGGAGGAGGAGGGGCAGGAGGAGGGGCAGGAGCAGCATGGTGGAGGGGTGTTTTTTTGGTTAACCCCTCGCCCCCTGTCGTTGCTGCCCCTCGCAGGGGCCGGGCCCGGCGGAGCTGCCGGGCCAGGCAGAGCCCACGAGCGCCTGGAGCCTGCCCTCCGCCGCCGCGGGCAGCGCCCGGGGGCCCCTCCCCGCCGCCGCCGTGGCGGCCGGCGCGGCTGCGGCCGGCGGCAAGCAGGGCGCGCCCCGCACCGCCGCGGGGTCGGCCACGCGCAGGAGGGGTCGGAGGAGGAGGCGGAGGAGGAGCAGGAGGAGGAGGAAGCGGAGGAGGAGGGGAGGAGGAGGAGGAGGAGGAGGAGGAGGAGGAGGAGGAGGAGGGGGGGGTGGAGGAGGAGGAGGAGGGAGGAGGAGGCGGAGGAGGAGGAGGCGGAGGAGGAGGAGGAGGAGGAGCGGAGGAGGGGCGGAAGGCTCCCCAGAAGCACCCCTGCCTCCTCGGAGGGCGCGGGCCTCGCCTGCAGGCGTGAGAGGCCCGCGCCCTCGAAGGAGCGGTCTGCTGCCGAGAAGCCTTCCGCGCTGCCCCTGCCGCCCCTTCCTGCGCGCCGCTGCAAGGGGGCGCGCCCCGCCGAGGCGGCCGCGCCGCCGAGGTCCCTGCCCCCGAGATGGGGCCCGAGCGCCGAAGAGTGTTGGGACTTATGATGCTCCAACCTGCTTGAGCTTTGATCTGATGGGCCTGTTTGCCACCACCACCACCACCACCACCATAGGTTGGAGGGGCAGGGGGTCCTCCACCTCCTGCTCCTCCTTTTCTCCGTCTCTCTCTTCCTCCTCCTCCTCCTCCTCCTCCTCCTCCTCCTCCTCCTCCTCCCCTCCAACTTATTGGTGGTGGGGAGGGAGGTGGAGGAGGAGGAGGAGAAGTAGGAGGAGGAGGAGGTCGAGGAGGAGGAGGAGGAGGAGGACCCCCTCCCCCTCGAACTTCTGGTGGTGGTGGTTGTGGTGGACAGCAGGCCCATCATTGATCGCCAGGAAGAGTTTCGAGCACCAGGAGGGCTTCACGCGTCGGGCCCTGGGGGGCGATGCTCGTTCGACACCGTGCCGATCCTTTTTTCTCGGTGCTCGAGATTAGTTCTGGGGTGTGGTCCTTAAGTACGATCGGAGCAACATAAGTTAAGTCGGGCATTTGTCACTACAGGAGAAATATTCGGATTTGATTTTAAGAATAGTCTTGGGACGATTCATCGACAGCTTTCGGTTATTGTTTGGGGCATTTGTCTGTCCAATTCTTTATGTTCCTTCCGACATCCGCCTGTAGGAGGGCATGCCCGACCTAATCGAAGAAGAAACGACGCCATAAACATACACTTTTGGTGCGTCCATCGCCCTCCCTGGCGCGCTCCGCGCGCCAGGGAGGGGTTGTCCAGCGTGGATCCAAGACATCCGCGTGGAGCGCCAACAGTTTATGTGCATGCCGCTGTGCCTGCTCCCAGAGCAGGTCCCTGAGATCCTGGCGTCTCAATTTTTTGAGACTGGCGCTGTTGCCTTTTTTGTTCGGGCCCCGGGGCCCTCACGGATCGATTCGGCCCGAAGGATGGCGCAGGCAGCGGGGGCCGGGCCCCGGGCGTGAGTCTGTTGCGACGCTGCAGTTGTTTCCTGTGGGTGCGTCGGATCTCAGGGGCGGGGTCGGAGTATCGCGCCCCATCGACGATGCATCGGCGATGCGGCCTGATTTCGGGAGCGGACAAACCTCCTACCCCTGACACGTCGATTCAGGAATTGGCCGTTGTCGGTTCGCGAGAGGGCGTCGCGGCCGTCATTTTTGCGGGTCCGGGTCCGTTGGTTTCGGTCCCAGGCCGTTTTCACTCAGCGGGGGTCTACTAAAGGGAGGTTTGTCCACCGCCGATGTTTTGTACCCCGACGTTGTCCGGTGTCGCAGAGGCCTCGCCGAGGCGGGTGGTGCACCACCGATGCAGCGGCAGTGCACTGGCGATGCGTCTCGCTGGGGATCCCGATGCTCTCTCCACGCAGACGGTGCCGAGCCCTTGCCGAGGCCGGTGATGCATCACCGATGCATCGTCAATGCAGCATCGAGGATCGAATCCCTAACCCTAATGACACAGTGAAGGCGTGACTCGAAAGCTGGGCGAGGGCTGCTAAAACCGTGGCTGCTAAAACGGCCCTCCCGTAAGGAAAAAAAAACTTCCCGGAATGAGGCGCGGCACGCGAAACAGTCAACGGGCTTCTTCCCGGAAGGACAAAGACAACTTCCCAGAGGTCGATTTTAGCAGCCACGGATTTAGCAGCCCTTGCCCAGCTTCCGACTAACCCGTGACCTCACTGAGGTCCCCGTCCTTTGCACGAGGGACACTACATCTGGACGGTTCGGCTCGAGAGACCTACAGGACGGACCCCCTCATCCCTGATTCCTGGGGTTCTCCCGACTTGGGTCCCCCCCCCAAAGGGTTATATAGGGGTCCGTCTGCTGCCAATCAATGAGTGCACCGGCGATGCTCCGCGATGTGCCGCGATGCGCATCGCCTGTGGCACCCCGCCGTCTGCTGCCAGAGTGCATCGGCGATGCCATCGACGTGGATTGCCTGTGGCACCCGTCCGTCAGTCCGGCGATGCCGGTCTGACGCGCGTCTGCTGCCAGTGAGTGCATCGGCGATGCTCCGCGATGTGCCGACCCCGTCTGCTCTGACCCTCATCTTGGGGGCCTCTGCGAGGGGGGAGGCGCCGCCAAGTGCGCAGGGCGCCGCGCCGAGGCAGGAGACGTTCGTGACGCAGTGAGCGGCCGCAGCGCGACAGCGCCTCTGAGGGAGAAGGGATGCCGATGCCGCCACAGTCAGCTCGCGTGATTCGGAGGCAACGATAGGGGGGATAGGCACAGGGGGGGATGCATCGACCCCCAATCGCCCACTGATCGCCGATAGGGGCCCGATAGCCCCGCCCCGCCCAAGAAGGTGCGGATTCACTACCGGGGGCCTATCGCCGATCTATCGGCGATGTATCGCCGATTCCAGGTCGATGCATCCCCCCCCTATGCCCATCCCCCCCCCCTATCGTTGCCCCTCAGTGATAAAGGATGTCAGGCGATCGCAAACATGGATCAAGGCGGCGTGGATCAGCGGTGCGACGGGTTCCGTTTCCATGGGACGGATTTCCGCCTCCGAGCGAGGCGGCACCGGCCGCATTTTGGAGAGGGCACCTCCCCCGATCAATGCTTGCGCGCCCCCGAGACAAGGATGGGCAATTTTCCCAAGGGTGCCCTTTGATGGGCCTGTTTTCCACCACCACCACCATAAGTTGGAGGGGGAGGGAGTCCGCCTCCTCCTCCTCCTCCTACACCTTCTCCTCCTCCTCCTCCTCCTCGTCCTCCTCCTCCTCCTCGTCCTCCTCGTCCTCCTTCCCCCCTCCAACCTATGGTGGTGGTGGTGGAAAACAGGCCCATCTCCCTTGTGCATCCTTGCCTCCTCGGCCCATCCTTGGCCACCTCCAGTGGCCGCGCCCGGCTCGGAAAGCTTTCCAAGGCCCTTGCATCCTCATCGTCGCGCATCCTTCTGATACGGGTCGACTGCACATGTAAGTAGGGCTCCTCTACAGGAGGAATATTTTACAATAGTACAAATAATCATCTGGGCACGATTTTTAAGCAACTACTTTTGACCTTTTTGGGGGTATTGTTTCTCTATTCTTCATTTTTCGCCCAAAGTTCGCATGTAGGATGTCCGACCTGTCTGTACATCCCCTGAGATCTTGGCTCGTCCGTTTGTTTGAGCACGGGACCCCCACGGATCGATCCAGGTCGAAGTTCAGAAGATGGTGTCTAATCTACAATATAAATAAATACCGCCCCCCCCGGCCCCGGGTCCCACACCTCCCTGGAACATCTCCGGAACGCTCTCGGTGCCGCTCCCCCGGCCTTTCAAGTGAGCCTCCACAGCGCTCCAGGAGGGCCCAAGACGCCGCCCAGGAGCCCCCAGAATGCGAAAGGATGGCCCAAGACGCTCCCAAGCAGACCAAGTCAGCCTTCCGACGGCTCTCGAGGTTCCCAGGTGGCCTCCAAGAGACCCAAAGAGAGGTCCGAGAGGCGTCCCGGGACGGCCCGAAGGGGCCAGCATCGTAGATTTTCATTGTTTTTTTTCCAATGTCTCTGGCTTTCGTGTTTTCGAGCTTCCAACGGTCCATGAGCGCCGAAGAGGCTTCCAAGACCGCCCCAAGACCACCCAAGAGACCCTCAGGACGGCCCCAAGACGGGCCAAGAAGGCTCCAAGACTGCCGAAGAGGCGCCCAGGACAGCCCCAGACCACCCCAGAACAGGCCCAAGATGGGCCCAAGAGCGGGAGCAGGAGGCTTCCAGAGACCTCCGAGAGGCCTCCCGACCACCCAGAGGCCCCCAACACACCCCCGATCCCTGAGAGGCGCCAAAAAGACCCCGACGAGGCTCCAAGAACAGCCCAAGAGAGCTGCGAGAGCCGTCTTGATAGAGCCCAAAGAGGGTAAAATCGTTGATTTCCAATGGTTTTTCTAATGTTGTTCGCCTTCTCACGTTTTCTCGCTTTCAACCCTCGACAAGCCTGAATTTTTAAAACAGGAATTCCCAGACTTCCCTTTTTATTTCAAAGTTGACTCCTACTCGGTGATCCCACGCATCCCTTGACATTTGGCCGGTACCGCGTCTCCCGGCTTCCCGGGGGGCCCCCAAGACGCCCAAGGACAGCCCAAGACGACCCCAAGGAGCCCCCAGAACGTAAAAAACATCCCAACACGCTCCCGCGCAGCCCGAGACACCTTTTCGACGGCTCTCCAGGCCTCCAGGAGGCCTCCAGAACCCCCAGGGGGTCCAGAAGATCCAAACCCCTGAGGGCCCTGGCGATCAAAACCCACGAGGCACAAACAAAGAAACAGCGCCGAACAGCGCCCAGAATTCTTTCTTTTGCACAAGAGACCACAGTTCAGACCCTCCGCACCTCCCAAGAAAGAACCCAGGAAGTTTTTGATGGCCCCAAATCGTTGAATACCTAAAGGGGATTCGTGATTTCTGTGTTTCCGCACTTCCCCTTCCATGCGATTCCGAGGCTTGCGCAGGGCCTCCAAGGGAGTCCCTGGACGCAAGAAGCTACCAACATGGGATTACATGAGTTAGCCAATCAAGCCTAGCTAGAACTTGAGCGCGAGCGAAGCGCGCGAAATGCGTTTAGTGTGTATATATAGATAGATCGATCTCTCTCTCTATATATATATACGCATATATATATAGATATGTATGGATTCACGCTGCTATAGTTTAGTCGTTTCCAGGCTTCTGTGGTGATGCGCCTTTTGATCGTTTTCGTCGCCAATCAAAGGAAACGTTTTCTTTGTATAGTTGTATAGTTTCCATCGGCGTTTTTCATGTCTGTCCAGGTCTGCCTCGCAGCGTGCTCTTTTTATGTCTGGCATTGTTTTACCGTGGCCATGCATGGGCAATACCAAGCGGCTTTCAATGAGGCACCAGCAGGCAGCAGCAACAGCAACAAGCAGCAGCTAGCAGCGCACAGCGTGGAACGGCAATCATGTTTCTCACCGTCGATGTAGGAGCCCTGTCGCAAGAGAGCGGAACACGACAGACGAAGGGGCGACGCGACAAGGGGGGACGCAGGAAAAGGCGGGGAGGGGGGGAAAGGGAAGGGAAAGGGGGGCAGCCCGCGCGGGCGCGGCGGCGCGGCCCGGCGGCCCTATAGGCAGGCCCGGCCTGCCGGCCAGCCGAGCAGGCTGCCGCCGCGCTGGCGGCGGCCTGCAGCCCGCGGCCGTGCGCGACGGCGTCGGCCGCGTCGCGCTCCGCGAGCGCCCCAGCGGCCGCCAGGGGCCGCCCCCGCGCCTCCTTGAAGGTGAGGCCGCGCAGGGCGACCCTGAGGAGCGGCGCGAGCTCTCGCGCGGCGGCCCAGCCGCCCGCGCCCAGGCGCTCGCCGAGGGCCCCCGGTCAGCTCCTCGCGAGCGAGCGCGAGGCAGGCGGCTTCGTCGCCCGCGCCAGGGCCGGCGGCAGTCGGGGGGGCGCCAGCCGCGCCCTCCTCCCCGCTGCCTGCCGGCGAGAACGCTCGCGGCCAGCTAGCCGGGCGGTGCCGGCGCGAGCGGCGCTTGCAGCGGCTCTCCAGGGCCAGCTGCCCGCCCTCCGCCGCCTCCGAGTCGCCCGGAGCGCTTGCGCCTGCGGCGGGGCCGCTGGCCGCCCTCGCCTTGAGCGCGCTCGCCGCGGCCGCGCCCAGGTGGCGCCCGCCGGCGTTCGCCGCGCCGCTTACCTCGCAGGCGCCGGCCGCAGCGCCGCGGGCAGCTCCGGGGGCGCTCGACTCTGTGCTGGCCGTGTCGCCGCGGGCCGCCCCGGTGGCGCTTGCCGCGGCGCCAGCCGCGGCGCCGCGGGCCGCCTCGAGGGCGCTCGCCGCGGCGCCGGGGCGGCGCGCGCTGCCGCGGGCCGCCTCCTCCCCGAGGGAAGCTCTCGCAGCGGGCGCGCGCTCTTGCCCGCCGCCTGGGGCGCTGGCGCCTGTCTCGCGAGCTGCTCCAGCGGGCGCTTCCAAGGTCGTCGAGGCAAGCCGCTCCGCGCCAGGCGCGGCCTGCTGCCCAGCGGCAGTGGCCTCGGCCAGCACGCGCGGAACGCCGCGGACCTCCTCCCCGCGGGGGCGCGCTCGCCGCGGCGCCGCGCGACGCAGGGTCGGCCGCCCCTGGGGCCCGTGCCGCGCCGAAACCGCAGACGGGCGCCGGCCCGCGCTGAGCGCCGTGGGGCGGCCGCCGCGAGGCGGGCAGGCTGGGTGGCAGCGGGGCAGCCAGCGACTGCTCCGCGCGCGGTCTTGCTGGCGGCGCGTCGTCGTTGCTGCCTTGGTCCGCGTCCGCCCAAGCGCGCTGTGCGCCGAGCCGGGAGTGGGCCCAGGCGTCCAGGTCGTCGTACGACGCCTGGAGGTCGCCGCCCTCGCTGTCAGCGCCTCCCGAGCTCGCCAAGCTGCGGGCCCTTTCCGCAAAGGCGCTGGCGCGTGCCGCCGCCGTCTGGCGTGGCCCGCTTTGTCCCTTCCCCAGCGGACCAGGGAGGTTCCGCCTCCCAGGTGCTCCACCGCGGAGGAGCCCCAGCCCGCCTTCAGGAGGATTTCGTACAGAACCTCTTCTGAGCCTCCTTCCTCCGCGTCGCCGGCTGGCTGGGCAGCCTGACGCGGGGTGTTCCGCGCCAGCGCGGCGCTCGGGGCCGCTGCCGCCGCCGCCGCAGCCTCCGCTGCTGGAGTCGCTGGAGGGTTCGTCGCCGCTGCCGCTTTCTCCGTGGCCAAGTCTGGAGCGCGCGGAGCCTTGGCCGCGGGTTCGGCCTTTGCGGTCGACTCGCTGCGCTCCTCCTCGCTCTCCACGCTCTCTTGCTCGCCGCCGCTGTCCTCCTCCTCCCCCTCCTCCTTGGGAGAGAAGCTGTTGTAGCTTGCGGGGTTCGGGTCCCCCCTGCCCTCCGAACCGCCGCCTGGCGGCGCCCGAGCCGTCCGCGGGGGTCCGCCCCTGGGTCGCTGTGCCCGGGGCCGCGCGCGGGGGGCGTGGCTGGCGCCCTGGGGTTGCGCTCGCGGCTCGCCGCGGGGGCGCGCCCCCGGCCCTCCTCCGCGGGGGGGAGCGGGAGGCCCCGCCGGCGAGGGCCCCGGCCGCCGCGGCCGGGGCCTTCGGCGGTGGCGCCCGCGGCGGCTGTGGCGCCCAGCGCGGCTGCGGCTGCGCTTCCTGCCGCGCCCGCGCTCCGGGCTCCCCGCGGGGCGGCGTCTGGCCGCTGCTGCGCTTCCCGCTGGGCTGGGCGCT